CTGTAAATAAGTGTGCACATTTATAGCATTATCGTGTGCTACATAGCATGCGTTTTTGTTCTACTTGAGGCAGAAACGTGCACAGACCATAGTTCACTATAGTTTTTTCTTTCTCTCACTGCTGGCTGGCCTTACGTTGCATGGTCTGGCGTAATACGAGCTCAGGGCAGGCGATATTATAGGTGGGCTTACGGGGTATCTTGGAGACTATAAATTATCGTCTGATTGTTTCTTTTAAAAAAAATATTTCTGAATTCTGTGTAATAAGCTTCTGCATATGCCAAGCTCGATTAGTGACCGGCAATTTTCTAATAACGTCTGCTGTTGAAATGCCTTGGCCGTATCGTCACCGCTGTTACAACCGCCGGCCGCCTCAAGCTTAAGCATACTAACACGTTTTGGGCCATTTTCTTCTAGGGCACTTCACCAAAATACAAACAAATGTTGTTATTACTATACAGTGACGGTAATACATAATTGTAATGACCCACTAATCAGGCGTGGTTGTGGTGTGTCAAAAGGCTCTACTGCACACGAAACACACAAACACGGTACCTGAGAAAAAAAAACCTTTACTCGGCCTCTGTCATCGCCAAATGTATAGACATACACACTCAAAAACGGTACAGCCATCCCACCGCGTTCACACTGAAACGCGCTGAAAGACATTTCCTTGGTTTTTCGCTGTGTCACAGGAAGAATCAGGTTTAACCATCGTGTCGGGAAGCGCTGCAGCGGGATCAGGTCGCGTCATGTCATTGTATTAAATAAAATGCTTCATGCCCGTGACAACAACAATACTAATAATTCGACTACGCTGAGAATAGCTGCTTCGAAAGAGCAACAATGACAATACGACAGGCTCACGTGTAGGGAAAAACAATCCGAGAATCTAGCTAAACACATACCATAAGCATACGTTGTAATGAAAATCATACCCAAAAAGAAAAAAAAACAACTATTTAATATGCTACTCATTAGATTATACGAAATAGAGGCAGAAAAAGAAAGTCGGCCGTCAAACGCGACGTACGCCGCCACCGACCCGGCGTGACATAAGGAGCATCATGGGTTAACCCAAAATAGTCCGTTAATTTTCGCAGGATGTTTTGTCGCTCGCCGCCGCAGCGCTATATATGTATGTTTGTTTGATAAGCTGTTCGCCATCGCTATTGTAAGTTATTTGAGATATTTTTGTTTTGGCTTTATTCAACTTTGCAAGGTGGCGGTAGCAGTGTCACTTCTTGCGTCTTTCCCAGCGCGTCCGCCGCCAGCAAAAGTTGGGGTTTGTTACGCTGAACAACAAAAACAAATGAAGAAAATCGCAATTTGTTCATGGTACGGATGGTGGTCAGCAGCGCGTCTCCCCGCGACGACCGTTTCGTCCGATACATACAAATAAAGGGCGGCGCATGATCGTGTTTGCGACTGTGGAAACGATGGTAATAGTAATAGTGAAGCCGTGCTTGTTCTGGCGAGACGATTTCGGAGCGGTATCTTAGAATAAGTGGCTAAAGTCGTAGTTGTAGTGTGTCATACGTCGCCGGTCTGGACGTAATTTCTTGTGCTAGCCAATTCGGCTGTAAATAAAGTCACTGCTACTGTTGCTGTTTTATTTTTAGTTATAGCCAGGAAACGATTTGAGCACGATGATTATCTTCAGTCTGAATATAGCACGGGTGCTGGTAAACGCAGCAGAATATGCGGTATATAAAGGCTATACAATCGAAGAAGGCAAAACTCAAGGTACGACTTCGTATCTACTAGTAATCGACGTCGTGAATGTTTCCTGAACTACTTCCGAACGCAAGTTGCTGCTCGCTTGTTCTAGCAGACGATGTTTATCTAAAGGCGCCTCTACTTGTGAGCAATTAACTGTATGATTTCAGCTGATCCGTAGCTTCGTTGGACGACCTTAGATTCTTATACAGAGGCTAGTTACGTATTCCAACATAGGACTTCTCCGTTAGTCACTCCCCACCCCCCCGTTTCCGAACAACATCTGTTACCGCTGAAAACTTTTCAATAGAGGATTTCATAGTTAAACACGAAATCGTACGTGACAATCATTCCGACGCCGACAATGGAGTTCCCGAAGATTTCCTCATAGATGCGTTTAGGCTTGGTAAACATCAGCCGCACTTCACTGGTATCACGATGATCGCTGGTTTTTAAAGCTGCTCCCGTCGGTGGTTGTTGGCCTGGTAGCCAGATAGTGTGGTATAGCCGTATCTACTTGTCCTCTCGTAACGCAGCAAGCGACTCAAGACATCCAAGTGTCCCCTCTGTCTTTTACAGCTTCCTGCGTCCACCGAGCTTTATCTGAATTATTTTGCATCAATGGACGTCTACTTTGATCGTATATGCTACGCCCATAACATACACGTACACACACATATGTGCATGTATGGGATGAATAAGTGGTTTTTTACTATATGTTCTGCCGTTGCCACGTGCTATTTTCGCTTCATTCGTATCATATTGTAGCCGGCCCGGGCTCATCGTTTGTTCACAAATATAACCAGAACAAACAAAAATCAAGCAGTGACACTACAACGACGCACCGTGAGAAGCTTCGGCAAATCGAAGACCCTAATAACTAGCTATACTATACGTTCTCAGCCGACGATATAACGACGAAAACTTACTCAAGCCGTATAAAGGCTTATTCAACATATTCGAACAAATCATCACCCCAGCGCACTCTAACACCCGCAATAGCCTCAGAGGCGGAATAGCAGTGATGACAACTGCGGAAGCGACAGCAGCAATAAGAGACGTCTAATAGTAAAGTTCTCTTCAGTATATAAGAGGAAAACTGTCGATATTCGTCAATTTTTTTCTTTTTCTTTGTTTCTACCGTCCTTTTGTGGCTCTTTCAGAGCCGATTCTTTATGACGTCTATAATGTTTTGTGGCATTCATCGCAATCGACGCTACCCGCGGCCGCTGATGTACGCACTGTATCGTGCCTTACATATATGCTGAGTGATCTGGAGTGGCTTTGCAAATGCACGTACGTATACATCAGTATTATGTGCTTCCTCGTATATCCCCTGTGCTCCTATCGGTAGATCTGTATGTGCCTAGATATGACTGCTGATATGAGTGTCAAGATTGCGCATTGTAAAAAGGGCGTCTTACGTGGTCTATAGAATGTTTTTTTGCTGCTGCTGCTGCTGCTGCTGTTGTCATGGCGTTGAGATACGCCCTGAGTCGCTCATAGATTGGGGCGAACGCCCCGGTAAAAGGTGGAGCCACAACCTCAGCGGGGTCCACTCGGCCGTTCTACGGCAGCCTACGGAGGATTGCGGTTTGTACTTAGTGCATGGTGGCTCAAACAGTGTTTTCGGTGATCGTTCCAATCGTGGAGATTGTTACTGTAGCTGCCGGGGACCAGGTCGTGGTGGATCGAAGACCCCACACGACGTTATACGAGTCATCGGCGTACTACGCCGTAAAAGCAAGCAAGAGGCTCAGCCGTACATGGTAATTCTGCCATATCAACGAGCATACTTATACGCACACGGTTTTAAATGTACACGAAAGTTTTTAAATGGACTTTTACGTTCTGTGTGTGATGTGTGTTGAAAAGAAAAAAACACAGAAGTTAAAAAAAAAGGTACTCGCGCACGGTTTCTACGAATCGTATACTGTGAGAAAATTGTGTAAGATGTGATAGCGACCGCCGGGTCAGCTACGCACTGTCAAAAGTTGCTGTTAGTCCCGTTCCGGTCACAGAACGAAGTCTTCACAACGAAGTCGATGAGACACCTGCAAGTGAGCGTATACATCTATTCGCAAAAAATGACGGCTCGTATTGGCAAAAGCAAATAGCGAAAACACAGGATAGGGGTAGGATAGGAGCCTGTCCATGCCCTTGTTAATTATATATATATATATTGCGTACAAATTTGGAAAATGCTTGGCCGGCTGTTTTCGTACCGGGCATGCGTTTATCGGCTACTCTTCGTACCAGACGACAAAATTTAATTTTGTGTGTAGCATATCTAAGTAAAATTTTGAGTAGCTTAAGCCTCTCAATATCGCTCGACAGGCGGTCACTGTTAAAAAAAATGATTTGAAAATGATGTAACGAAATATTGTAAAACTGATTACCTAGTGGTTTAGTTCCAGAATGGAAGCCATGATTGAAACGGATGGTGGCCACATTGAATAGGTATGACTGTCACGAAGTGCATGTTTGGCACATACGGGAGGTTTCACTGAAGTATTTATTTTTATTTAGATACAATTTAGAAAACGAGGCATGTACGAGTCGTGCCGCCCCGTATAAATTGAGTCGTTTGATGGCTTTAAAGTGATATATCCCAGGTAGTACGAGTCATGCCGGATCGACGTTGAGCCTTCACTCGTACTTACGATAGAACGCCTTGAAAGTGAGTGAAAAAAAAATTGCTATAATTTACAATCTTATTACAATAAAGGTACAAATACTGTCTGAGCCTATAAAAAAAGCATTTTGACGTTTATGGTCCGGATGCCTTATCAGAAAAAATGACCTAAAGCTGGTTCTATGGCTTTTCGTTTGTAAATTTCGATATGAAGGATACTCCGATCAGTTACGAAAAAAGTTATTGAGTAAAACCGATACGACCATGATATAGTTAAGATACTAAACACTAAACAATTGAAAGAAACTGGCTACAAAAAAAGCTTTGATATTTTGGCGCCATATGAATTGACGCAAAAAAAATCCACTCGATCGTAAATTCGTCTGCGAAACCCTATAGAAACGTGTTGAAATCAAGCCAGTTCTAAAGCGACTAGTGAAAAGCGGATTACATGCGACAAACATGTGCAAACTAAAAAAATGTGCTATCTCTGTTAAACGAAAGAAGGTGATACTGTGATTTTGGTGGGATTATAAAAGAATCGTACATTATAATACGAACTGTAGCATAGCTGACGGTGTATATAAGATCAACTTCTTTATTATAGATTATTTTAGAACTTACACGGAAGCATCCCTCCTTCGAT